AAAGAAGGGAAGGCTACTGTGTCCTTTGGGTTCCCAAAGTACAGGCCATATAGCAGGGCCTCAGCTGACTAAGCCAGAAGGTCTGGCTTGAGCCATTACTCAGGATATAGTTCTGGGTTAGTCCTTCCTATCTCACCTCTTGCAACCCCTGTTGCCTTGCCTGTGTTCCCCCCTCTCAGATCCCAGAATGAGACTGCTGGCCAGGAGACAGTGAGGGCAGTAGAGGTGACAGAGGCTGAGAGGACATGCAGTGGCAGGGGGAGGCCTGTGACCTAACGAGCAGGTCTATCTGTTCTGGAATGCTCTGCTGTGTGGACCCTGAACTGCAGATGGCCTGTCTTTTAAATGTTTATTTATTGATGAGAGAGAGAGAGAGAGAGAGAGAGAGCGCTCGGAGGCACCTGGTCTGAGAGAAGCTCACCTCTTGCAACCCCTGTTGCCTTGCCTGTGTTCCCCCCTCTCAGATCCCAGAATGAGACTGCTGGCCAGGAGACGGTAAGGGCAGTAGAGGTGACAGAGGCTGAGAGGACATGCAGTGGCAGGGGGAGGCCTGTGACCTAACGAGCAGGTCTATCTGTTCTGGAATGCTCTGCTGTGTGGACCCTACACTGCAGATGGCCTGTCTTTTAAATGTTTATTTATTGATGAGAGAGAGAGAGAGAGAGAGAGAGCGCTCGGAGGCACCTGGTCTGAGAGAAGAGCTGGAGCTTTAACTCCTCCTCCCGCTGCACCTCCCCCCATAGGGGGTCCCAAAGTACCTCTCTCCAGAACGGGCAGGGTCCCTAGGCAGGCCCCTGGAAAACACCATTGACGGCCCCACTCACCACCTCTAGCGTCCTAAGGGGGGACCTGAGACTTTCCTGCAGAGATGGAGGTAGGCCAGGGCCCACACAGATAGGAAAGTCATACACCTAAAGGACAATTCCACGTTCAGGGCACCTTTCTCTAGGAACGACTCCAATTGGGGGCGGGACCAGAGCTCACGGTTTCCGATACCGAAACTACATCTCCCAGAAGGCTCTACGGGGTCGAGACGTCAGAGCAGCTCCGGTACTCCAACACCCTCTGGGAAATGGAGTCGGCCGAGAGCGAAGCGCAAAGGCTCCCGGGGGCAGTAGTTTGCGTCGGGTCTGTGCCGGCACATTTTCCCGTGGCGACGCCGCCCTGCTCCTTTGTGGCTGTTGCTTTTGTGGGAAGCAGTCCGTTCGGTCTGTTCGTCCGCCCCGGGGCCTCACTCCTGGCCGCTCTCCACGCCCGCTGGCTCCAGGTGGCTGAGCCATAGGCTCGGCGCTTGGTGCACAAGAGGAGTGTGCGACGGCATGCGTGGGGCGTGGCGGCGGGATGTGAGCACAGTCTGGGGTGCGGGGCTCCTGCTGAGCTGCCTGGCCCGCACCTCGGCGGAGCGCAGGGCCAGTGTGTCTGTGCAGCCGGGAGTGCGTGTGCGACCCCGCGGGCTTTCCCTGCAGGGTGCTGTTCCTGAGCCCGAGGAGCAGGACCCGCTCCTCCGGGTCTGGCCTGGGGCCCAGGTGGTTACAGATCTGCCCATGCCTCCGGCGAACACAAAAAACGGCCAATGGAGGGCGGTGAGTGGGGCGGGGCCGGGGCGCATAGTTTCAGGCCCCGGAACTACATTGCCCAGAAGGCTGTGCTACACACTCGGAGGGCGGACGTCAGGGCTACTCTGGTGCCCCGACGCCCTCTGGGAAATGGAGTGCGCTGTCTGCGTGGTACAAAGGTTCTGGGGAACTGTAGTTCGCGTCCGGTCCGCGCAGGCGCACTTTCCCACGGCGGACGCCAGGCTGCTCCTTTGTGGTGGTCGTTGTCCTTTTGTGGGAGGCCGGTTGGCTCTCTCGCGTGTCCGTCCGTCGGTCAGTCTGTCCATCTGCCCCGGGGTCCGTCTGCCGGCCCCGCTCCGCGCCCACTGTCTCCAGGTGGC